GATGGCTCATCTCCTCATGATGGTAGAGGAGCAGCCTGCATGCAAGCCAGAGCCCAAAAACCCAAAACGGGTGACAAAGGCGCACTTGAATGAACAACGTTCTAATGGTCACTGACTCTGAATTATTCATGTCATGAGGTTTTAAACTCGGCTGTTAGACACATCCCTAATGGTGTTTTGACCAATTAGACATTGTCTTAGCTCGGGGTGTTGCTAGGTTTCTCCTCCCAATACATAAATCAACATGTTATCTTGTTAGTCACATGGTCCAAATTTTCCCGCTCTTGCAGAGTATAATTTAGACAATGGTTTTCTATAACAAGAATCTGATACATTTTACAAAGAACTGATTGATAGAAATGATTCAACAAAGAATATTTAAACTCATACATACCAAACTCGAATACAAATCTATTTTCTATGCATTAGTTATTCAAAAGGACATACACAATGAGTGATTATAACATGATAGTCAAATGTGTGGGTTACATACATGATATGGAGTTATGCAATGGAATGATATTTGTTAATAAGTCCTTTTAGCATCATTTTGGTTTATTTATAAATGTAAAAGACAGTCTGTGTGCTATTCTGTGAATGTGAGGACATGTTCTGTGAGGAACAAAAGGTCTCATAAGGAATCTGAGTTGCTCTCTGTCCTGGAGTGGGGGAAATCAACCCAAGGAAGTCTTGATTTCCCTCATGGTTTTACTTGTGATGGTCATTATGTGTTGTCTCTTCAATCATTAATCTTGGGTTGCTTGCCCCAAATTTGACAATCTCCTTCCTGAGTCGTTTTAACGCTGTAAGCTGTTCCAAGCTGCTAGTTAGTTAGAATTGTTTCAGACTCGTGGCACCAGGATATCTGATTTATGGCCATCCATGTTGTTTGGGGCCTCTTTGTAGAATTTGGCTCTTTGTGTGGTTTCTACACCATTCTGATCGAATCCTAAATTGTCTGATTCACTCTGATTTCCAACAAAACACAGCATGTCATTTTTCTTATGTCTTTAATTTAATCAATTTCTTTAATGTAATACATTTCAGTTTGAGTGTGATTATAGAATTAGTTTTGATTACGTGATTTATTTGTAATTATACAATGTTTCATGCCATGTCAGATTTAATGCGGTATCTGTATAACTAAATTGCTTGATTTTGTTGAATAGAATAACAAAATATAAACAAATATTATAGAAAGATATATATATATTTTGAAATAAATAAATAAATAAATAATTGTGAATGCATTTCCCCCAGAATATAGTACTTCTTAGCTTTTTACCTTGGTTTATTTTTATTTTTTTTATGTATTGTATTGTATTGTAAAAATTAAAAGGTGAAAAAGTAAAAGCGCCCAAAGAAAATATTGTTCATACAACCTTCTTTCTGTATTTTTATTTATTTAATTTTTTTTTACACTCTATTGATTGAAGAACTATTCTAAGATTACTTCACTAAGATTATTTGCTAGAAAATTTTGAAGCACCTGCGACATCTCTGATCAGAGCAAAAACTGATTTGGCTACAATCTTGGGTTTTTGTCACAGAAGAAAATAGGAAATTCTTTCAAACATCATGTAGTGTGATCATGGCCTTGGTAAAACTGAATTCTGGGATCAAAAGTGGTGAACTGGAGGCACCTCCAATTTTTGAAAAAGAGTTTTTCATGTCATCTGGTACTGGATTGCTTTGCTGTTTGTTTGTAATTCAAGATGGAAAGCGACAGTGGCAATGGACATTTGCTTTTCCACAACCAGCTATCCATTCCAGTGTGACTGCAAAAAAATACAATCAAATGTATCTCCAAACCTGATATACATCCACTGACGTACAGCTGGAATTTATTAAAACATTTATATATTTTTTTTTACCTTTCCTTTAGTGTATAATATAGCTGTTACAAAGCTGTTACAAAGTCCACGCAAAAAATGAATTAATCTCTACAAAAAAACAAAAAAAAAACTTTCTGAATCGTTTATATTTCCATGACTTAGTTACATCTAATTCATTCTTGAGATTGTGGTAAGGATTATGGTAAGGGCTGTTACATTTCCAACACACACTCTAAGTGGTTGACCAATCACAACAGACTGGGCCAACTGACCACTCAGAACAGACTGGACTTTTCAGAAAATGAATGCTTTAAAGAGATGGGAATTAAAACAGAGCGTTTCAGGTGAGAGTGAGAAGAGGTGCTGCAGCAATGTACAGTATTAGAAAAATAATGTGATTTTTTTTCTGTGAATATGTAACTGTATTCTAGCAGATCCTAAAAATAAAATTACTTGTAAGTGAGCATATTATTGGCACTTTAAAGCAAAGGAGTCATCACTAGACCTACAAGTTATTTTTGATACACTACTGCTAATCTATTTATCAATCTGCTAAAATTCAAAACCCTGGGACCAACAACAATTATTTCCTAAGTTTACTTGAGTAGGTCAGCTCCCTCAAATCACTGTGTGTGCAGAATTTCACGTTCATCACATACAGTACATCACATATTTATTAAACCACAAAAGATCATGGAGAAATATTTGAGCATGGTCTAATTAATATTCATGAGCTCTGCCTTCTCCTTCATCATGTTGTTTGGGGCCTCTTTGTAGAATTTGGCTCTTTGTGTGGTTTCTACACCATTCTGATCGAATCCTAAATTGTCTGATTCACTCTGATTTCCAACAAAACACAGCATGTCATTTTTCTTATGTCTTTAATTTAATCAATTTCTTTAATGTAATACATTTCAGTTTGAGTGTGATTATAGAATTAGTTTTGATTACGTGATTTATTTGTAATTATACAATGTTTCATGCCATGTCAGATTTAATGCGGTATCTGTATAACTAAATTGCTTGATTTTGTTGAATAGAATAACAAAATATAAACAAATATTATAGAAAGATATATATATATTTTGAAATAAATAAATAAATAAATAATTGTGAATGCATTTCCCCCAGAATATAGTACTTCTTAGCTTTTTACCTTGGTTTATTTTTATTTTTTTTATGTATTGTATTGTATTGTAAAAATTAAAAGGTGAAAAAGTAAAAGCGCCCAAAGAAAATATTGTTCATACAACCTTCTTTCTGTATTTTTATTTATTTAATTTTTTTTTACACTCTATTGATTGAAGAACTATTCTAAGATTACTTCACTAAGATTATTTGCTAGAAAATTTTGAAGCACCTGCGACATCTCTGATCAGAGCAAAAACTGATTTGGCTACAATCTTGGGTTTTTGTCACAGAAGAAAATAGGAAATTCTTTCAAACATCATGTAGTGTGATCATGGCCTTGGTAAAACTGAATTCTGGGATCAAAAGTGGTGAACTGGAGGCACCTCCAATTTTTGAAAAAGAGTTTTTCATGTCATCTGGTACTGGATTGCTTTGCTGTTTGTTTGTAATTCAAGATGGAAAGCGACAGTGGCAATGGACATTTGCTTTTCCACAACCAGCTATCCATTCCAGCGTGACTGCAAAAAAATACAATCAAATGTATCTCCAAACCTGATATACATCCACTGACGTACAGCTGGAATTTATTAAAACATTTATATATTTTTTTTTACCTTTCCTTTAGTGTATAATATAGCTGTTACAAAGCTGTTACAAAGTCCACGCAAAAAATGAATTAATCTCTACAAAAAAACAAAAAAAAAACTTTCTGAATCGTTTATATTTCCATGACTTAGTTACATCTAATTAATTCTTGAGATTGTGGTAAGGATTATGGTAAGGGCTGTTACATTTCCAACACACACTCTAAGTGGTTGACCAATCACAACAGACTGGGCCAACTGACCACTCAGAACAGACTGGACTTTTCAGAAAATGAATGCTTTAAAGAGATGGGAATTAAAACAGAGCGTTTCAGGTGAGAGTGAGAAGAGGTGCTGCAGCAATGTACAGTATTAGAAAAATAATGTGATTTTTTTTCTGTGAATATGTAACTGTATTCTAGCAGATCCTAAAAATAAAATTACTTGTAAGTGAGCATATTACTGGCACTTTAAAGCAAAGGAGTCATCACTAGACCTACAAGTTATTTTTGATACACTACTGCTAATCTATTTATCAATCTGCTAAAATTCAAAACCCTGGGACCAACAACAATTATTTCCTAAGTTTACTTGAGTAGGTCAGCTCCCTCAAATCACTGTGTGTGCAGAATTTCACGTTCATCACATACAGTACATCACATATTTATTAAACCACAAAAGATCATGGAGAAATATTTGAGCATGGTCTAATTAATATTCATGAGCTCTGCCTTCCCCTTCATGAGGTCACAACCAGAATGCCTGTGCACCCCACCCACAATCCACTCTTCAAATCTCGTTCTGGCAACACAATCCCCACCACTTTATAGAACAAAGTGACGTCCGTATCTGCAATACAAAGTGAGTTTGATCATTTGTATTGAAGCACAGTATGCAAAACAGAGACTCTTATGTTCAGAAGAGTGAGCGAGAGTGCTGGAGCACATGGTAACCAACACGAGAAGAGGGATACTGAGCACGTAATGACAGCGCATCATCGCTCCTGCGCTGCAGTGGGTCTCTGCAGCAACCCCATGGCCCCTTATAGATTCAAATCATACCAGTGTGTGCCTTTCAGAAAACATCACCCTCTCCTGCCCGGCTCACAAAACAGCCACTGCCGGCAGGCATCAATCATCCACTTCAAATAGCTCTCGCTGTCAGATGCAAAAACCCATCCTGTCCAGCAGTAGCTCAGAGGCACTGTACCCACACGAGAGGTGATGGGACACATACATTATTCCATGAGATGGCATTGTGAATACAAAAGGGATAAAGGACATTCGAGAGCATGTGTCAGCTAACAGCAAAGTGATGTTGAGCTGTTGAACATCATGCAAACAGACCACAAACGGGAAGCGAAAGGAGGTGCAGGGAAGGGGCAGTGGAGAAGTCACACGACTTGACAGGAATAAGGCGGGTGGGTTCTAAAAATGACATAAAATGAAAGTGGATTATTGTGTACGTTTTTCTACCGGCACGTTAAAACCTGAATTATAGATTATTTTGAGTGGAAAGGTAAGTAATTTGATTTATATTATGTTTAAATTTGTAGGTATAATATTTATAATGGCAGGTCAACAGTTTTACTTTGCTACCATTACACTTTCATGAGTTTTTTTTTATACAGATTTTTATTTTCATCATTGCAAACAGTCTAGTAAAATGTGCATGACATTATGGCTATCATGGACGAAGATGGAATTTTTTTAATTTTTACATTAAAATTTGACCATCATTTTTGACACTTTTCAGATATATAGTATGAATTATGTATATATTGTATTGTTTTAATCATGTTAAAATGTGAAAATATCAAAATAATGTGTGTGTGTGTGTGTGTGTGTGTGTGTGTATTTAATTTAAGAATGTTAAGATATTTTACTGAAAACTTGTTTAGAAAAATATTTTTTGAACAGTGAAGGCAAGGAAAAAAAACTACTAAAAATACTCACTGACAGCTTTTTAACTGTCTTTGTGTTTAATCTTAACCTCGAATGAACTTCTGACAGTGTCAGACATTTTTGGGTCACAGTCACAGTGTGACTGCAACTACGTTGCAATGTGAGTTCAGCCACTGATGTAAGTCTGTGTGTAAGTAAAAGAGGGAAATGTTGAGTAAATATGCTTGTCTATGTCTGTGTAACATATTCCTGTTACTACTTAGTTTCTCGTTCACATTCCCATATAATTCCTATCTCATACTCACTCTGAAGAAGGAACAGCTCCTTTTTCAACCAGTCAAGATAGAATCCAGACACTCTGACTTATTTCTTTTCCAGGGAAAGCAATGCCACCATTAGCACAAGAGCTTTCTTGGGTTTGTGCAGTACCATTTCAGTTTAAAGTGTCAAAATAAGGCTGTCAGAATGCCCAGTCAATGCTGTCAGTAATGACTTAGTCTTAGCTTGGAAAATTTAAGATGTTGCATAGTCTGACATAAAAGACAGTTGATGTCGTACAGACTGGTGGGGCTTTTACCCAGGATCTCACTGGTACTTATTTCTTTTCCAGGGAAAGCAATGCCACCATTAGCACAAGAGCTTTCTTGGGTTTGTGCAGTACCATTTCAGTTTAAAGTGTCAAAATAAGGCTGTCAGAATGCCCAGTCAATGCTGTCAGTAATGACTTAGTCTTAGCTTGGAAAATGTAAGATGTTGCATAGTCTGACATAAAAGACAGTTGATGTCGTACAGACTGGTGGGGCTTTTACCCAGGATCTCACTGGCATCATATCACACAATCTGACAAGCAACAATCATAAATGACAGAAAATCACTTGGCATAGCCATGTTTTTTTTTATATACCATTGTGTCTTTCCACTTAAACTAGTTGGCAAATGTTTTTAAACCCAGAAATATGTGTACCATCCCTTAGCTTCTGAACATTGCGGTAACTGCTGCATCTAGGGCGCCACATGTTTGCAGGTGGTAAGAGTGTCCTCTGGTGGTTGTGTCCCTTATTACATCTCCCTGCTGTCCATTGGTTGCCGGGTACATTTCCACTGCGTGATGCCCCAGACTGCAGCAAGAACGGCCTGATAGTGAGCTCTGATGTTCAAAGTCTTGTCTCAACCGCGGTGGAGAAGTCAGCGGCATGAAAGGAGTTTTCTTCTGAGCTTGCACAGTAATGACAGGCTGGGTCACAGAGTAAGCAAGAGCTGATATTTATACTGTATGAGGTTGGCAGGAAAGGAAAACACAGTAAGACCAGCTGTAAAAATATGTGTCCAAAGGGACAGAGGACACAGCATGTATTTTAGAGACATATATTCGTGCCATATATTTGCACCAGTTGTTTTTACAAATGTGAAATGATTTAAATCGGGTATTTGTGTAAAAGCCCACAAAATGCTGAATGCTCTTTGAAGTCTGCAGTTCTTTAATAACCTTTTCTTTAATGAGGGGTGTTTGGGCTGAAAAGGATGACGATTTAAATACTAATGCCATAACATTTCTTCTTTTTATGTAAATTATTCATAACAGACAGTGCTATGCCTGTCACAGTTAAAGGGATAGTTCACCCAAAAATGAAAATTTGATGTTTATCTGCTTACCCCCAGGGCATCCAAGATGTAGGTGACTTTGTTTCTTCAGTAGAACATTTTCACCGCAATGTCCGAACTGTCCTGAGCGCGTACAACAGCCGGCGCCTGACTTCTGAAGATCTTCTTCTTCTTCTTGCTTTACGGAGGATCGCAGACTTATAAGTGCATTACCGCCACCTATCTCTCAAATGGACCATTGACATTCCTAATTAAGATTGTAGATAGAGTGTCAATGTTCCATTTGAGAGATAGGTGGCGGTAATGCACTTATAAGTGTCAATGGTCCATTTGAGAGATAGGTGGCGGTAATGCACTTATAAGTCTGCGATCCTCCGTAAAGCAAGAAGAAGAAGAAGACGCGTCAGGCGCCGGCTGTTGAATGCGCTCAGGACGTGCTCAGGATATTGCGGTGAAAATACGAGGTAAAAAACTATATAAATACTGTTCAGTTACTTGCACAGACCAATCGTTTTGTGTCTTTACACATCAATGTATCGTCACGAGCCGCAGGGTTTAATTTGGTTTTGTTTGTGTATGTTTTTTTTGACTCTCAAAGTCGTGATTCCCATCCACTTGCATTATAAGACTGACAGACTGCAACGGTTTGACTTAAAAATCTCCGTTTGTGTTCTACTGAAGAAACAAAGTCACCTACATCTTGGATGCCCTGGGGGTAAGCAGATAAACATCACATTTTCATTTTTGGGTGAACTGTCCCTTTAACATTGTGATATGGTATCTTTAAAAAAGCATGTGTTTTGGTAATTTTGTACCTGTGAAACACAACATTTGACTCGACAGATGAACTTAAAAAGTCATTGAAGGAAGTCAAAATTATATTGTTGCTTCAGAAATTGCATATTTCAATTGCGTATCTCACATTTGCTTTTATGCACATTATGAGTTAGGTTTAGTGTAGGGTTCAGCATTCAGGCTAAGATATGTGCAAAAACCGGGTTGGAACTGCAGTATGCGAATTGTGTTCAGCCCAAATTGTTAAGGTGTTTTCGGACACCAATATCTGATTTGAATAATTCCTTTAGTGCTAAATTATCACCATAAGCGAGCACAATTAATTTGTAGCAAATTCCCTCAACACGTCACCAACTCTGCATAATCTTGGTGAAGCATGTGCATTAGTTCCAGGATATGTGGTTCTAATATATTACAAACCTCCAAAAGATCTCCCAATGGATATTGCCCCAATGGTTTTGACCTTAAATCAGATTCACTTGCTTTCACTGAGAGGTTTAATTTCTCCACCCCCTCAACCCACTTTACTCTACATCTGCATAGCTAAGGGGTGGGTGTCTGTGTTTTATGGACTTTCTCTAATGACCACAGCACTAGCCAATAGCTAATTGATGAAACAATCCAACATTGTTCTGGCAAAGCGATTCGGTCAGTTGTCACAGCTTCTGGCTACAGCCGTTGATGTATTGAGAGCTAAATATATCCCAGCAGACCACAGGGAGCCTGCTTGGGTTCCGGCCCCTCACTGAGGAGCCCACAGCAAAAGCACAGCTATGATGAAGAAGGTGATTAGAGCAAGAAAGAGTGCGGTTAATACTGCATGAGAATGAGTTAGAGAGAGACATAGAGAGAGGAAGGGGGTATGCCTCCATTAAATTAGTTTTAAATTGTCTCTTTACTTCTCCTCCTTTTCCCAGCCCAGTTCAGAGAAAGGAGGACAAAAGAAACTCCTTCTCTGGCCAAAGCCCTGTAAAGTCGACATGCTCCAGACTGAGGTTACGCAACCATTACATCCTGAGGTAAGTCTCAGGTAGTAATGGAAAAAAAAAGAAATTTCTAAAGTTACAGCATTTACATCAAGTTCTGAATTTATATTTCTTTATGTACACAATAAGTGTATTGTACCAAATGATTAATTAAAATGTAAGTACATAGTAGTTAAGGCCACTTAATATAAAGTGGGACCCAAATATTTAATAAATATTCAACCCAACCTGAAGGACCCAGGCTAATTGTAAAAACATATCATGTTGACATTTCTGCAAAATGATATTATGTTGCTTTCTGCACATTTCATGGCCCTTTAAATGTGAAATGTCCAGTGAATGGGGCTAAAAGCGAGTTCAATTTCCTCAGAAACAGATAAATGCGAATGCGGCAACATTTTATTATGTTGGTATTTTGGCTTATGGCAGGAGCTCAGAAATTAAATGTCTGGTGAGTGCCGCTAAAAGGTTAATGTTCGTTTTAAAATAGCATACCTCCTACACAAAACCCTACCCTAAACCTAACCGATAGTGTTAACAACAGCAAAAACGAACCAACCATGCCATTTTTCAAGTGCCACAACAAGTTTCACAGGACTTGCAACTTTCTGTGGTAACTGACAGCATATAGAATATAGGTTGTGCTAAAAATTGTGTAGCATGTTTTAAATATACATACCATTAGAATTTCATATTCTATGGTAGACAATATACTCTTTGAACATCAATAACAGATTCAGTAAAGAATCTGTAATTTAGATATCAACTGTCAAACTGGTCTAGAAAGAGAATCTTGTATAACTTTGTACAATAGAAGATAAATGAGTTTAAATTGCATCTTACATTTGTACAGCTGTGTCAACAATTACATCTGTGCTCCCTCAGGAGAGGCATGAGATTGAATATCAGTCTGACGTGTCTCGGGTCACCTACTCAAATATGTTTTAAATATTCAAATAAAATAAAAGTTGAGTAAAAAGTATTTAATTTATTTTTTTCCAATTTGAAGTCCTCAGAACTTGCATATGACATGCCTCACTTCAGTTAATGTTTAAAGTTCACGTTTGTATTATTTTCCTTTATATAAATGAAGGGTTTCTTTGTACTGATGGTTGATTTAGAATTGTATTCATGTTAGTCACTTAATTGGTCTGTTTCTTCATGTTAGACTCTTT